CCACTGTATCAGGACCACAGGTAACATACCTGTCTACATTGTTGCAGGTCCTGGAACAACCTGTACTGTGTGCTCAGGAACAGCCAGCTGACCTTCTACAAGGATGCTAAAAACCTGGCCCTGGGGGTACCCTATCACGGAGAGGAGCCCCTGGCCCTGAGGCATGCTATCTGTGAGATCGCTGCCAACTATAAGAAGAGGAAGCATGTATTTAAGCTGAGGTGAGCTTTGCCGCCCAGCATCTGTGCCTGAGCCGAATGCCTTTTGAATCTTTATGCTGATGGCTTGATTGGGCATTAATGGCCAAGTAGACCCACTGTAGCCCAGCTCCAAGTTGGTGCTATTCCTTGGATATTTTTTAAATTAAAAGATTCATGGTCTAGAGGGGCATGGGCACCTTACACAGAGGCTGTAAGATGGCGGACATCTCTATGCCCAGGCAAAGACTTCCAGGTATAGTACCACGACACAAAACCTTTTGTCTTCCTAGGTTAAGCAATGGCAGTGAGTGGCTCTTCCATGGCAAGGATGAGGTAAGTACAGGTGGTCTAACTCTGATGAGGCTTCCAATGGGGTGGGTGGAAACAGAGCAATCAGAAACACACCCATCCCTTCCTGGCCCTAGGAGGGCTGTGTACCTCTAGACTCCCTGACATTTCCACCCCACAGGAGGAGATGCTGTGGTGGCTACAGGGCATGAGCACTGCCATCAACGAGTCTCAGAGCATCCGTGTCAAGGCACAGAGCCTGCCTCTGCCTTCCCTTGCTGGTCCTGATGCCAGCCTCGGCAAGAAGGATAAGGAGAAGAGGTTTAGCTTCTTTCCCAAAAAGAAGTAGCAGCTGGAGGCCCCTGTGGGTGGGGCCAGTCAGGCAGCACTGCAGTGTGCATCCGGGACACGCAAGGACCAGGAGCCCATGGCCTTGACCTCTGCAGTGGTCAGTCCTCCTCCTGCCTGCCACCCACTGCCTGCAGCCTGCCTGCTCAAGTTGCTGGGCCAGCCCCAGGGCCCACACTGCACTGCAATAGCTGCCTTGCCTGCCTGGCCTCCCTGGCCTTCCCAATGCCTGCCAACAGCCTTCCAACTCCCCCACCCCATGCGGCTGGCTGGGCTCCAGGGACAGGAGATCCAGCTCCTTTGGGGCTAGAAACGGTTCTGGGTTCTGTAAGGCATATACTCTCCTCTTCCTGTCCCCAACAAGCTGGGAAGCCTGGTGGGGTTCCTCCAGCACTGCCCACTACCACAGCAACTGCCCCTAGGAGTCACCGACCACTATCAGCCAGGAAAAGGAAAAGGGATATTGCAATGGCTGCTCTGGCCCTTAAGGGGCAGGAGGAAGGGCCGTCAGAGCTCAGCTCTGGGCAAGGGGTTGGTGGGGTACCAAGGGGACAATAAGGGGTGTCAAACTTTGAGTACTGCCAGCTGGGCTCCCTCAGAAATGTGACTCTCTCCTCAGGGCTAGTATGTCCCTTTTTTTCCTTCTCACACCCCCAAGAGTTTTGGTTGAGTCCTGAGTGAATGAGCCGCCTTCCTCCCCATGGCACCTTCTGCCCCTCCTAGCATCAGGAGAGTATTAGGAGCAGAAGCCCTTACACTACTCCTTTGGAAACCCTGGCTAGAGCCTATTAGGGCTCAGGCCTCTGCCACAGGAGGGACAGACATGTCCCAACACTGCTTAAAGCTTGGCCTCTGTACTGTGGCTTTTCCCACTCCCACTTGCAACCAAACCAGCAGTATGTGGCCAGGGCTGGTACCAGATACAGCTGAATATCCAGGTCCTGCAGTAAAGTATCTCAAAGCTAAATGCCCATTGTGCCACCCACCCCCGCCCCTGCAGCTGGTACCAGGCCAGTGGCTGGACATAGAGCTGTTTATTACCTAGGGGTGACAAATGCAGGCATGTGACACAACCCTGGAACACAGGGATGGATGTTGGGGACATAGTCATAAAGGTGTGACCCCTTTTGATTGGCACTTGCAGGCCTAGTCTTAGATTCTGGGAGTCACATGGTAAAGAGATCACCAAGCATCTACTACCCCTCTCCAAGCATAAAAAGGGGGTCTGCGGCATATCCCTAGGGAGTGCTTTCCATGCCTATTAAGAACAGGACCCCTGGTCCTGAAGACTTTCTCTGCCATGCAACTGGAAGCAATGTGGCAGCTGGAGATAGGTGAAGTTGAGGCAACAGGCCTTTTCACCTAGGAGACCATCTGTGTCCCCAGGGCTCACAGCCAGTTTCTATTGCCTTCCCCATGGGTAAGGCTCAATGGTAGGCATCCAGTTACTAGGTCTCCCCAGAATCCCTCATTGTTGACCAGAGACCAGTTGTGTCTTGTGACCCCTAACATGTGAGTATGAGTGCAACTCCAGTAGATGACAACCATCGAAGGGAAGACCTTGGCCATCCGGGCCTGACTTCCTCATCTCCACAGCATCTTTACGGCCTCGGTGTATAGGACCCTCTAGCCCTCTCCTTCTATGGGGAGCAGAATCAGCACCATGCACCAGCCTCTTTTCACAGCTGGAGAAACCAAAGCAGTAGACAGGGAGGCATCTGCACCCCTGATTAAAAAAAAAAAAAAAAAAAAAAAAAAAGCCATGGTGCACTGGAAGGCATGTCTATGTCTGGGACAGGAAGTAGGCTCCTTACAGAAGTATTAGTGGCAAACAGTTCCCTCAGGCAGTTTCCCTGGTCTAGTCTTTGGGGGCAAGAGGGGGAGTGGGGGAGACCAAGGGACGGAGGTCTACATTTCCCCTCTACATGTAGCCACGTAGTACCTGAAGTGAGAAGTTTCCAGTAATCCCACAAAGCCAAGAAAGAGAAGGCTCCAATGGGAGAGCTAGCATTTCATCCCAAAGGATTACACGGGCTAGTAAGCTGCACGTGACCTACCATCACAAATAGCCCCCCACAGTGCTCACCCACGTCACCCAGGCCCCAAGGCAGGTGGCCAACTTTGGGGGAGCTCTGCACTCTAGGGTTTGGCTCTCCTGGTGCCCTGATGCGGCTGATTTTTCTCCTGGTGTTTTCTACTTTGTGGTCTTCCTTGACAGTACTCCCAAACTGGGTTAACATAGCTCCAGTCCACACCAGCATAACAGGCTTCCTCCCCAGGGCAGTTGGAGGAGGCTCTCTGGGCACGGTCAGGCAGTTCTCTCCTTCCCTGTCCCTTTGTCCTGAGCCTAGGCAGACAGGCTGAGGAGGAACAGAGGGTCCTGGGACCCTCCCACCCCACTTCCACTGGTACTAACATAAGTCTGTGTAGACACCACCCTACCCCCAACCTCTCCTTCCTGCCTACTGGAGGGCAACAGGTGCCCTGGATCTCCTTCCTCCCTCAGCAAGAGGAGGCAGATTCAGAGAGAAAGAGGCCGGCAGGTCACATGGCTTGGTCCCTTGGACAAGCAAGCTCAGGGAGGACACAAGAGGAGGTGACTGTAGAGGAATGCAACCCTGTTGGGCACAGATCATGCCATCTGGGGCTGGTCCTGGGGCTGGCTGGGTCTTGTCCTCCACCCGCTCAAATGTACTTCCACAACCAGAGGAATCCCATTTACTAGTTTTTCTAATAAATCAATAATACTCTGTGTTTGTTTCTGTGTCTTGGTTGTACTAGTCTCATGCTGCTTTGAACTGGACTTCAGAGGGCAGGTACCATGGAAAACAGAGGGACAGCTAGACTTTGGTTTGTTTCTGAAGAGTATGATGGGGTGACCCTGTTGGTATCCAGGGCCTAGACGTATTCTGAGAACCTGAGGAAGCTTGCTCATTCATGAATACAATCAAAGTCGTTAACTTCAGGGTGCAGGAGCTTGATCCCTAATCTGTCCTGGGATCCATTTTCAAGGTTGTTTGGCTTGTGTGGGGCACAGGACTGCCAGGTTTCAGAGGCCCCTCAGGTAATTCTAATAGGTGCTGTAAAAGCAATTGTCCCTGTCCAACATTCCCAGGCACACCTGGATAGGCGGTATGAGGATCATTCAAAGTACATTAACTACAACTGCCCAGGCCCCACGCCTGGATGTCATCATTGAGCGTGAGAAACTGACTCATCCGACCTTCAATCCATAGATGAGGAAAGTACAGAGCTGGGTGACTGGGCTAGCTGACAGCAAGGCTGGGACAAGACTTTTGAGTCACCTATCCAGTACTTTTATGGCTGCTACCAGGTGTCATTCATATCCTGGGATTGGCCTGCTCAGAACCAGGAGCTGTCTTCTCAGTGACAGTGAAAGTGGCCACCGAAGGCTCAGGGCAACTGATAGGACATGGGCTAATGCAATCCCACTCTGCTGCTCATGCCTAGGGGACTACCACTTACCTGATAGTGGGGGACTTGACGGACCCATGTTCAGATTCAATCCATCCTCCTAGGTTGGAAGATCCTCAGGTCTTAATTCTGCAGACTTGCAGACACGCTCGAGAGACTGACCTATCAATCACCAGGGCCCTATAGTCTCCACTGGCCCCACACAGAACAAACCAGAGTAAGGCTAATCTTCCATGGAGAAAAGAGCCCACTCTGGTTTGTTCTGTCTGGGGCCAGAAATGGGGCATTCCCGGCCCTCTGCAGCCAGACACTTCTGTGGATGCTGAGGAAGCAGTGTGCACCCTAACAGAATGCATGTGCATTCTGACAACACTGCAAACCACTGTAAGACATGCCTAAGTCTCAGCCTTAGGATCCCTGCTCCTGGGAGCTGGAGCGTGAGAGATGAGGAAAAGGCTTTGGGCACTAGAAACGCCAGTTTATCTGAGGTGTTCCGCTTGCCTCTGGCTGCTCCAGTGTTTATAGGATAACTTTGTCCTTGGGAGAAGAGCTAAAGGCTCACATGTGGCATTCCCATCCAAGGCAGGACATGTCTACACAAGTAGACATGGCAGAGAACAAAGTTCCCATCTCACATTCTGTACCCCACCAGACATGGGTAACCGTCCCATGTCCCTTGACCCATGAATCCTCCCCACAGTTGTCCCCAGTAAGGAGACCACACACAGGTTGGTTGGATGGTCAGCAGTGGTTATTGTGCCATTGACAAATAATGAAATGTGTGTACATCACCAACAACCACAGGGCCAGCAAGAAAACCTTCGAGAGTACCTGAACAAAGTCTGTTACATTCTTCACAGGACTTGCACACATGCGCACATGCACACACACACACACACGCACGCACGCACGCACGCACGCACGCACGCACACACACCACAGGATTGAAAGCAATAAATTATTGGCCTCATTCCTGCCTAGGCCCTAAGAAAAGGCAGGTGAAGAGCAAAGCCTGCCTGGGCTGCTTCCTAGCTCTGCCCTTGGGTCCTCAGCCAGGCAACGGCAAGCCAGTAAGGGAAGCGAGGACAGTGCTTGCTCTCCCTGGGCAGAGTAAGCTTAAATAAAATATTTGGTTTCTTATCAGAGAAGTATTTACAAGGTAAGTGGCTCATCTGGGCCTAAGGAAAGTTATCAGGACCTCCCTGAGGAGGTGAGGGTGTGCCAGCACAGATAGCAGGTACGTTCACACAGGTACCCCAAACCACTTTTCCAGAAGAATGGAGGAACAGCCTTAGTGAGCCACGCCAGTCCACATCCTAGCTGTTCTCTCCTTGAAGAGTCAGTCAACCCACAGAGTTCAAGGCCTGGAATTTCTCCCTCAGGTTTCTCACTCTACCCTGCTTGCTTGTGTCAGCTGGGTCCCTGGGACCTTCTTCCTTGGGCTGGTGGTACTCTGCACACTCCTGAAAACCTTGGCCCCGTCCCTTCAAAACCACTGGGGAACTTGGTTCCTTCCCACTGCCCTCCTCCAGCCCCACAGTGGAGATAGGATGGGGCCCCTTCTCCATGACAATCACTCGATGGTTGTTCTCCAGGGTAAGGTCTGCGGTGATATACAGAGATTCACCTCCATTCAGGCTGCTTTGAGGAGGAGGGTGAGAAGGTGGAGGGTGGGATGCCTCCCCACCTTGCTGGGGCCTCTTAGTGTTCATGCTGCAGCAGAGGCCCACCTTGCCAGACACAGGAGGCTCTACTATGTTCTCAGGCAAGGAGCGGCTCCGGTTGACCAGCAGGCCACGTGGCCAGTTGCTCTCGGCTTGGGCAGCCTTGTCATGGGACGTATATTTGGAGCAGAGCTCTCGGACATCAGGCCAGTTGAAGGTCTCAGTGTCGAAGGGGCTGAGAGGGCTCCGAGTAGAAGGCTGAGACCCGGGGGAGGTGGTTCTTGGGCTGAGCGCGGAAGGGCTGAGGGAGACACGGCGTGGGGAGGTCTCCGCAGCAGAGGAAAATTTGGAGGTGCCCTGATCTTGAGCCATCAGCTGCTCATAGCTGAGGAGTGACAGCACAGGCTTTCTCCTGGCTGGGGAGAGAGAGAAAACAAGTGAACCATGTGAACCACTGTGAAGGAAGATGGAACTAGGAAGGGAGAGATGGGAACCATCTTCAGATGCATGTGGGGACCAGAGTGCACAGGAAGAAATCCCATTTTACCCCCTGCTCTCACCTTGGTATGGAATGAGCCCCTGGCCATTTCTCCAAGCTCTCTCTGCTCAACTAGAAGTGCTGGGGAAGGGGAGGGGGCAGGCTGAGGCTTCAATCAGGAGTGCAGGATGGGCCTCAGAGTGCAAAACTGTGTACCACATGGTGCCTTGGGTCCAGCCCTCTCATGGCATGGCCTCTTTAGAGGCTATCCCAGCCCCCAAGCACTGGATTCTAGTTGGTTTTTCTACCCCTAAGCGTCCTATCCCCATCATACCTTTGCCCCCTAACAGCTCTACAGCTTCCTCTTCTGGCAGGCCGGAGATGGTGGGGATCTGCTCATCCTGGTCAGGAGTTGCTTTATCCCACTGCAGAGGTGGCCTAGCTGTCTTGATGTTCTTAATTCGGAGGCTGTACTGGCGGGCCAGCTGGTAGACCTTGTTCTTGACACGCTCGCTCATATGGCTGTCCATCACATGGGAGAGCTGTACAATACGGGGATGCAGTGGGGTAACCAGCTCCCCCTGGGCCCCGCTGCTCAGCTCTTTCACCAGCTCTTTCAGCTCCTGGGCCAGGTGGGCTGGGTTGGGCTGCTCGGGGGGAGAGGAACTTTCCGGAGAAGCCACGGCAAACTCCTCAGTGATGGCCCCCAGCTCATGTTCCTCCAAAATGAACAGTGGCTCTTGTAGCTCAAAGCCATTGGCCTGGCTCTGGCCAGGCCCTGTCTGAGGACTTCTCTCAGAAGACTCCATTCTCTCCCATATCTTCACAATTTCTGAAGATGGGCGGAACTCAGCATCTGTGACAGGAGCTGGGTCCCCTGTGCCTGACTGGCTGGGTCCTGGGAGGTCAAACAAGGCCCACGAGGCTGGCCGAGAACTTCCCGGCCTCTTGTACCCAAGTGGAGCTGCTGGCTCCATATCTGGCTTGGGAAGGCTGTTGAACCTGGACACAGAGCTTCGTACTAATCCTTTAGGGATATAGGAGAGGCTCTCCCGCCGACGGATGCTGAAGCCTGCATCGTGGTGCTCTGCATTTTCATAGTAGTTCTTGATTTTGTCCAGCAACTGCCGGTCTCGGGTGGACAGTGCTGATTCCTTTTTCTTGCAGGAAGATCCTGGTTCCGCGAGGCAGCCTGAGTCCGAATTTGTAGATTCTGTCCCATTGACAGAAGGGCCATTGTCTGTGACCATGTCTGCACTGATGACCACTTCTGGGGTGGGTGGGTTGCTGAGAGAGTCCCCAGTGCTGCCCCATCGAGCTAGGCCCTTCTCACTGCCCTCCAGGCTGAGCACACTGCTGCTCCGGCTGATAAGTCGTGGTGTCCCAAGGCCACTGGACTTGCCATCCTCCATTGCCAGGCTGCTCCGCCGAGAGAAGCTACTGGCAAACCGCTCAGCAATGACACTGGCCTGGTCCAGCACTGAGGGTGGCAGAAGGCTGTCGGACTCCTGGGTAGTTCCCATTCCCTCCTCTTCCTCCTCCTCCTCACTACTCAGGGCCTTAAGGTCCTCAGGGCCCACAGGTTCCACAAAGTCCACTACATCAACTGGGCTGTCCACCCCCAGCAGCCCCTTGGGGGCATGAAGCTGTGTTTCCAGAACTTCTGGAGATTCTGAGTCTGAAGGCATCTCTTCAGTGCTGGGAACTTCCAAGGCAGTAAAGGCCTCCTGATCGGCCCCAAGCTCAGGATCTGTCTCAACCTGGGATGCAACAGAGAACAGATTAGGGGCAGGGGTGGCGCTCCTTCATGCCGCTTGGGGGACAAGATGGCACAGCCTGTTCTCAGGCCAGGTAGGGGTTCTGCAGCTTAGGACAATCAGAACAAGCAGGGCTCAAAAGCAGAACAACAGACCCATTTATTTCTTTAGTTACCCTGCAGCTACATGATAGGCCTGTGTCCTCACACCCAAGGAAAACACTAGAAAAGAAGGGTGGTAGCATCTCTCAGTGGCAGCCTACATGGGAACTACAGGTACAGTGTGGAGACATAGACAACATAGCCAGACACTAATCCATTTTCCCAGGGGCCCCACACATAGCCAAGAAGTATCTTAGGGATTCCACTGCCTGATGTCAGGGCAGCTTGGGATTCTACTATTCAAACCCAGGCAGGCCTGAGCCAATTATAAATGGATAACCCAACTTCCCCAAGGAACCATAGATTCCCTGGGGTCAGGGGCCAGATGGCAGTTCAACTGTGTGCTAGATCACTATCGGAGGTGAGCTCAATCCCCAGACCTCACAGTGGAAAGAGAGACCTGACTAGCAAGTTGTGTTCACTGACCTCCACATGGGCACACCGGCACTTACAGCACTCATACTTGTAAAACTCTCTCACTCTCTCACTCACACTCCCCCGCCCCCCCTTCTCCGAATTAAAACTAAGGGTGAGGACAAGGAATTTGGCTTCTGCCAGCCAACCTGCCTTAGCACCTGTGAGCCCAGCCTTGCTGCATATGCCCAACAGATGGGCAAGGAGAAGGCAAACAGAAGTCCCTCCTGACCACCTGGTCATTGGAACTGCTGCTGGCACAGGCAGCTTCCCAGAGCAGCCCTCTGGGAGAAAATCAGTACAGGCACAAAATTTGGAAGCACCCAACCCAACTCCATAATCTGCAGAGCCACACCCATGATCTAGACCTGTGTTACCCACCACAGTAGCCACTGAGATGAAGCCACCCCAAACTAAGACCTGGTGGGAGGGTAAGATACATCCAGATTTTGAAGGCTTTGTATAAAACACAAAATGTATCAGTAATTTTACTTCGGCTCTAAGACATTTAATTTCACTCCCCCCCCCCCCCCCCCTTTCTTTTGAGACAGGTTCTCATAGAGCCCACTATAGCCTCATACTGGCTATGTATCTTAGGCTGGCCTTAAAACGTCAAATCCTATTGCCTCTGCTTCCAGAGTACTAAGATTAGATACCATCCTGCCCAACTTCTTTGTCTTTCTTAACATGGTTACTAGGAAATGTAGTGGGCTAGTGGCATAATGGAAACACGAATAACTAGATTCTAGACAACTTAAGTTACACATAGGGCCCACCACAACATTCTAGCATTCCTAGACAGTAAAACCGTCATGGTCTGAGTCTTTAGTGGTAGTCCAGAAAAGTCATGAAAGAACTCGCTGTCCACTGTGAGAGCATGAACAAGTAAAGTCTTTAGGAAGAGACTACATCACAAGGACTCCATACTCAGGCCTCATAAAAGAGGCTAACGGAAGCTTCCTTGCTGTGCGGACACAGCAAGGATGTGGCTGAAGCAGAGAGGGAACTCTCATCAGACAGTGAACCGGCCGACGGTGCCTTGATCTTGGACTTGGCAGCCTCACTGCTCTGAGCGACACATTTCCGTTGTTTATCTGCACTTGGTCTATGATATGTTGTTACAGCAGCTTAAGTGGGCAACTCTTTTTCTATCAAGGATTATCTAGGTTCTCAGCTCTGTCCTAGCTGAGGTTCAACCTGGGGTCTAGTTCACGACCTTGTCTCCTTTTAACTTTGAGAAAGCAAAGGAGTTAGGTCCACTGCCCCCTCAGACATTGCCTGGAGTGCAGCCTGTCCAGCAGCCTCTCCAAGCCTCTTTTCCTTCTGGAGCAGCTGTGGGGCACTGAGCAAGAGGTACCCAATGGTAGATACAGTCTACCCCTTTGCCCAGGTGGACACAGGCATGCCTTATGTCCCATACAGGCAGCCTGTCTGAAGGGGCCCAGTGAAGGTCACCTTTGTTTAATTCATAGGAACAGGCTGACTGTTTGCCAAATCACACACCCTAGACTGGCCAGACCTCTGGAAGGGGCAAGGGCCAGGAAGTGGAGCGTCCCTCTACTAAAAACCTCTGCCTGGATATCTGGACTCCAGGTTCCCTGAACTATCTCCCTCTCATCTGCTGGATGCTCACCTCTGGCAGGGAAGAAACAGACTCAAAGCTCATGCGTTTCTCTGCACTAGTTGGAGACCGGTCGCTGGGCCTTCTGCAGCTTTTAGAGCCTTCAGATTCCCTGTGTCTCTTTCCCTGCAGCAAGCAGAAATCAGTTGACAACTGAGAACTGGTCCCTTCTGCATTCCACTCCAACATGGAGAGTGCCTCCCATACCCCCGCAGAGGTACAGGAAGTACCTGAGAGCCAGTCCTATGCCCAAGCAATTCCAAACAACCTGAACTGCCAGGCCAGGGGCCACAGAAATCCTTGCAAAGTGTGCAGTTTTAGAAAAGCCCAGCCCACCTTTTTCTTCCAGATGTAGTGAGGTGACCTTCTCACTTAATGGATGCTAAGCTTTCCCCTCCCCCTCCCCTGTTAGTCCTGCTCAGTGGGTACCCAGTCCTAGAACAGTACATGCCAGGGACTCACCAGGGCGTGACAGTGAGTGAGTTAAGAAGACTCACAGCTGGAGGGAAAGGAATGGGATGGGGTGGGGAGGGTACAGGAAGGGACTCTCAGGACATGCACATGCCAGGCAACATGCAAAGAAGAAGGGAGATCAAAGAGACACCTCACCATAGCACCCCGGGAGAAAAGTAAAGCGTTGGCTCGATAGTGCCAGCAGTGGAGGGCAGCCAGCAGGGAGCTGGCAAAGTCTGCTACCTGCTCCGCCACTGCCAGACTCTCCTCCTCCTCCTCCTCCTCTTCCTCCTCTGAGCCTGGGAGCTCTGGCCCAGGCTCCTTCTCACTGCCTTCATGCCCTGCCAGGTCTTCCAGGGAGACTGGGAAGGTCTGCTGCTGCTGTTCCTCCTTTGCTATTGCCTCCTCTTCCTCAAGCTCCTCCCGGGCAGCCCCCTCAGCCTCTGGCTGAAGGTCCCGTGCACGGGGCAGCTGCCCAAAGTCCAGGAGGGCCCCAGCACTGCCTGCATGCTGTTCAGAGCACAAAGAGCCCCCTGTGACCAGCCTTTGTGGGCAACCTCCCTCCTGTAGGTGGCCAGAAATGGCTTCATAGAAAAATCTACTCTGGCTGGGCAGTGATGGAGCGCCTTTAATCCCAGCACTTGGGAAGCAGAGGCAAGCGGATCTCTGTGAGTTTGAGGCCAGCCCAGTCTACAGAGCAAGTTCCAGGGCAGCTAAGGCTACACAGAGGAAACCCTGTCTCAAAAAGAAAAGTAAAAAACAAAACAAAACAAAAAAAAGTATCCCTAGACGCCCAATCCTGGCCTCCTCTAGAGGGGGGCATTTTATGTGGGGTGAGATCTAGTTGGGAAAAAGGTTCCAAAGACACCTATATATCCCAAGAGGGGAAAATATAGGGGACACAGGCCAAGCAAGCATCACAGGGTGCTGCTGTAGGAAGATGATGTGAGAGGGTCCTGGGCTGTGCCACCCACACTCCCTCTTTCCGGCCTCTCCCTGGGCCTGAGCCCCTGCACTCACCTTCATTCCTGCTGCTCTGGCTGCTGACACCAACACAGGGTCCAAGCATGTGGTGGAACAAGCACGGAGGAGAACACCAGTAAGTAGGAGAAAGAACCTCCTTTGAGAGACCAGAGTCCCTGGGAAAGCCTCACAGGGGCTCCTACACTCCCGAACCCCGAACCTAGTCCTGGCTTTCAAAGGAATGGCTGCAGCTCAGGAGCTCAGCACACAGCAGTGCAGGTCTGTGCAAGCTGCTGGGCTCCCACTGCAGCAGAAGGAAGATAGGGCACCGTGTACGGGCAGGGGAGGCGAGGCTAGCTCGCTCTCTGCAGACACCAGGGGGGAAGAGCTGAAGTCATATTCCCTCTAGCTTGTGCTCCATAATCCCTAACCAGGTTACCGCCTGCTTTCACCCTCCCACCCCAACTAGGGATCCCTGGCTGCCCTTCTCACAACTCACCTTTGTCATTCAGTTGCCTGAGCAAGTGTCTGGGTGGCTCTGAAGAACACAAACGGGCAGTCAGCACAGGCCAAGAAGCAACAGCACCTGACCTGGGTTGCAAGCTCACGGCACCACCAGCCCATCACCGCCAGCCCAAAGTCCACTCTAGCTGGCCCCCAGCCACCCTAGGCCTCAGAGAAGCTTTCTCCACAGTGTTACAGAGGCCCCAAGTGGGGCCAGAGCCCTTCTGCTCCTCTGCGGCACCCAGTGAACTGCTCAGGCCCTGTATTAGTATGCCGGGCAAGGCCTTGGTTATGGAGTCACCTGGAAGGTATGGGCCCCATGCTACCCACTTCAGAACTAGCCACTAGCCACTTTTCCATCTCAAGCCCCTCTATCTCTCACACACAGCACATCAGCGCATAGCTATGCCCCACACCAAGCCCCTCAGCGTGCAAGCCGGGAAGCAGAGGTCGCACCCGACTTTCTACGGCCCTTAAGGCCTGGCATCTCCAATCCTTGCTGCCTGCTGGGAAGTGTTGCCCTGCTGAACAGGGTATAACCAGGCTCTGGGGACACAAAACACAACTATTAGGCTAATGGTGTCATCACATTGTGTCCCAGCCTTTCTGGGGACAGACCTGAAACAGGAGGGGAAGGATGAGAAGACTGTCTTAAGAGACCTCTCTGCAGAGTCCTCAGCCCACCCCTACCCTGTCTGATAGAAATGTGACAGTTTAGGACTGTGCCTGATTCTCTATCAACTTAAGAGTCCTGGCAGAATCTATAGAGGTCTTTTAGCTGACCCTCACAGGGGAACCACTGAGACAAATACAATAGGTACATTCCTGATCTACAGCCACATAAGTAAAATCCTAATTGCTTTTTTTTTTTCTTTCTCCATTTTTTTTTTTTATTTGAATTAGAAACATGTCAATCCCAGTTCCCTCTCCCTCCCCTCCTCCCCTGCCCTTCCCAACTAAAACCCTACCTATCCCAAACCCTTTCTGCTCCCCAGGGAGGGTGAGGCCTTCCATGAGGGAGGGAGTCTTCAGAGTCTGTCATATCCTTTGGGATAGGGCCTAGGCCCATACCCATGTGTCTAGGCTGAGGGAGTATCCCTCTATGTGGAATGGGCTCCCAAAGTCTATTCCTATGCTAGGGATAAGTACCGATCTACTACAAGAGGCCCCATAGATTTCTGAGGTCTCCTCACTGCACCCACGTTCATGGGGTCTAGATAGGTCCTGACCTTGCAACCCAGGTTAGGTCCCAGCTATCAGTCTGGGGTCTAATTGTTTTTCTAAAGCACGGGGTCTCATGCAGCTGGCCTCAAATCTGATATGTAGCCAAGGATAGCCAGGAACTGACTCCCAAAAGTTGCCCTCTGACCTCCCCACAAACACCATCACACTTGAATATGCACATCAGACACACACAGATAAATACCTGTAATTAAAATTAAAGATTTTAAAATGTGACAAAAAGCTAGATTTAGAAATATTCTATTCTTTCTGTTGAAGGCTTATAAGAAGAATACTTAAAGAGTTTAAAAGCCATGACAGATCTTACTAATCCCAAAGTGGACTTGTCTGCCTGATACAGCTGAGTCAAAGCCCCTAAGGCCCAGCCTGGGCACTAGGCTGTAGCATGTGGTCTGAGTCTTTCTCACACAGTTCCTGTAAATCCACCAACTGATCTCTACCACACAGGAGGAAGAAGAGTCACTATAGGGAGCATGCTAGGAGCAAGAGGCTGAACACTTCTCAGTGTTATGGAAGAAATGTCACAAACACCAACCTCAAATGCAGGCCATCACCTTGGCAACGCACAGTGCCGCCACCACCACATTTGGCAGCTCACACACCATCAGTGGCATTGAAGCATCAGCTCCAGGAAACAAAAAAAGTGCAAATGTGGTCAGCACCCTCTTCTAGAAAGTTCCGGAAGATGAGGCATGTCTCAAGAAAATTAACTCTCAGTATTTATTCACAGGCTGAAATCTCAGCCACATGCAAACTTCAGCTGTGTTCATTTGTTCATTTCCTGACCAACCCGATGGCTACAGTCTTGGATTGGAGAGACAACAGTTTTATTGAGCTGTAATTCACACATCAGACACAACACCTGTGTATACACTTCAACAACTTTAAGTACATTCACACAGCTGTACCTCTGAGCTCTGTGTGTGTGTGTATGTGTGTGTGTGTGTGTGTGTGTGTGTGTGTGTGTGTGTGTGTTTAGGGGTGCTTTTCTGGTTTGGGAGGCACTTTTTGTTGTGGTACGGAAGACTTGAATCCTGGGCATCGGCATGCTAGCCAAATGCCCTGCTGTTGTCTCTTAGAGCTAAAATTCTGATGCTGAAGTCATGACAGACCATAGTATTAAATACTACCATGACTGTCCTTGTTAGCATTAATTGTCAACTTGCCACAGCCTAGAATCACCTGAATATCTCAAATGAGTAACTGCCTTTATTGAGGTGGTCTGTGGGCATGTCTGTGAGGGATTTTCTTGATTGCTAATTGATGTAGGAGGACCTAGCCCACTGTGGAAGGTGCCATTCCCTAGGCTGTATGAAGAAGCTACCTGAGCATGAGCGGGACACCTAGCAAGCAGCATCCTCCATAGTTCTGGCTGTAGAGTGAGCTCCTTGGTCACAGGTAATATGTGGAATAGCAAGCAAATCTGTCTTAAGTTCCTGCCTTGACTTCCCTCAATAATGGACAATGACCTAGAAGTGTGAGCTGAGAGTTGAATGAATCTTTCCCTCTCCGAAGGTTATTCTTGGCAGAGTATTTTATCACAGCACCAGAAAAGAAACTAGAACAACTACTATTGCTGCCTGAATACTTCCATGTGCCAGGCTCTCCCAGTGCTGAGCTATGGCAAGCTAAGAGGGGATGTTAGAGAGAAAGGGAGAGAATTATGGAAAAATACAGATGGCCAGAGACCAATAAAGCAACACCCTAGTTAGAGACTTTTAACCATAAAATTTATATAACCAAACTAGGATAGCCTAGAAAGGAGCCACCTCGAATAATATCAAACATTGCAAACATGAAAACTCTCCAGAGACCACCTGTCTCCATCTTTTAGAAAGTCAAAGTTCAGGTATCAATCACAAGTGTTCTCGGAACCCACAGGCAGTGGTCAATCAAGACCCAATAGTCTCAATCTGAAGTCATTTGCTCTAAGTTACTGTCACATGGGCTCACTTCCAGACTCTACCACTGATTAATCCAGGTCTGTCCCTGGGCCTCAGACTTAATAGTAAGTCAGAGAAAAGTATAGCAAAAAAAGGAAAATCAGCCACAGAGACATCCCCAACCCCCACACCATCACGGCAAAGCTAAGAATAAAAAAAGCAAGGTTTTCTCTTTTTAAACAGACACTTCATTCTAATAACTCCAAGAGCACATTAGCAAATCCTGTCATGGAAGAAAACCCAGGAGAGGAAAATGAAATGACCCAAAATAAATATTTCCTGTCTGGATTTGGTGCCACTTGGTCTAAGCTATTTTCCTCCCACCCAGTTTCTGCTGTCACTCCAGAACTAGCCATGATGTCCAAGTGCTACTCCTGGCCAAGCTGCAACGCAAGGAGATCTGGGTGGCTAAGAAGAGAAGCCAAGTCCTGAATGAATAAGTATCCCCAGAACAAGTGGACAGCCCCGGTGAGCAGAGAGCCAGGAAGTGTCTGGTGGGAGGCAGTCCACCAACTACCCTGCCATCTTTCCCAGTTTTTTGAAGAGAGTAACACACCACTATGTTACTTCAGATGACCCCCCAGCCTAGGCCAGGATTCTATGAAGAAGGTTCTTGTCCACAAAGTCCTCTTACCAGACTGCCGGCGTCCTTGGCGTACATGGGTAGACACCTCATCCTGGGAGGACCACGCCTTCTTCAGCCGCTCTGGGCTACAGCGATACCTACTGGGATCTGTAGCCAGGAGAGAAACATCAGGCTGTTGGTTCCCCCGTGGTGTACCTAGATGCTGCCTGCACAAGACCACACATCTTCCACTCACACCAGCCCCAGATGGTCCTGGATGCCTCAGAAGGTCCCCCATCTTTCATCTTCTTGCAACTGGGGGCTTCAGGCACTGAGAGTCCTGCCATGTAGCAGGAACATGTCACTAGTTACACAACTGATTCCCAGCCCTTGACAGAAAGAGTCCCCCATCCTTCCTTTCCTGTTCCTAGACAAAAATATCAAACAAGGTTTGCCCAAGAAATTGCCTGACCTAACAATGTGCACAATTAGGGACAATACAGGCAGAAAAGGGTGACTTACAATAGGAGTCCATTTCCAAGATGGCTTCCTTGGCCTAGAAGGGAAGGAGACCCACACAGTAACCACCTGATTGTGCCTCGCCCAGAGGAGGACTCACACGGTGTCATGCATGGCATACATAGCTGCTGTACTAACACATGCTATCCACCCAAGTCAGGAAGAGAAGCTCCAGCATATTCTTGGGAGCTGGGCCAGGAGACATGCTTTCCCTGAAGCCCATTTGAGAGAACACTAGGAGCCAACCTTCTGGGGGATGGTGGCGTGGTGGTTCTCCAGGATGAGCCTTTTGATGTGGTGGGTCCAGCTCCGTTTCTCCTCTGCAGTCTTGGCCTAGGAGAGCCCAAGGAGAAGGAACAGGGTTTATGATGTATATCACATAATGATCTCACTTTACAAAAGATGGAGACATTAGGGTATGGGGGCAGTAGGGAACAGGGAGCCGCATACAAGTGTACTTCTGGTCCCCGGCCCCTTGTGCAGGCTGCCGCTCACCTGGATGCTGTATTGCTGCTTGCTGTGCTTATAGTGTGTGAGGGTAAAGCAGAGGGAGTCTTTGGTACTTTCGATCAGCATCAGCGATGAGCACTGGGGACAGAGACCAAGGTGATTAGGCAGGAGAGAAGGAGATAGTCTCAGAAGATGGCCCTGGAGCCTGATGAAGCCAGAAGGAAGCTGAGGAGCCAGGGTCGGCAAGGAAAGAGAAGGCAGCACAAACGAAGACAACAGCTCAGTTACCGGAATGTGACCCTTGTAGACGAAGTGATCACCCCGCTTCTTGGTGATGAGAAGTATCTTGTCAAAGAGGAAGAAAGTTCTCTCGTTGCGCACGCGGTGTACACGGAAGGTGGCTTCCAGGACCAGTTCTCCAAAGGTGGTCAGGTCTGGTCCCTTCCAGTTAATGAGCAGTGACTGGATCTCCTGCAGCAGAGACCCCGGACACCCAGAGAGTCAGGCCTCACTATTCCCAGGAAGATCACAGAGGCCTCACCCTAAAGGCTTCCGCAGATACCACCCCACAACCTAGCTAAGCAAGGTGACAATATTCCTTCTCCCAAACCCTGTCACCTCCCAGCCCCAGAGCACCTGTAGCCGAACCGCGTGCTCATGTCTCCTCTTCATGTCATTGATATACCAGGCCACACATGTCATTGTGTCAATGGCATCCACTACCACCTCAAAGCCATCCTCTTCTTCATCAAAATGTTTGGCAATTTCCTGGACAAAAGACAAGTGGTCTGAGCAAAGCTGATGCCAAGGCTCTGCCTGGCATTCCAGCACACAACCTGGGGAGAAGCCCTGAGCCACCTGGAGCAGCAGGTGGTATTTGAGGATGCGCTGGACAGGCTTCAGCAGGTAGGAGCCCAGAGGCAGAGAGTGTTGCAGCAGCTCCTGCCGGTCTCGGAAGAACTTGGCCTGTTGCTTGTCCTGCATGCACTCAGTCAGGGCTGCTACTGAGCTGGAAAGGGTAGAGTGGGAGTTACCATCTGGGGAAGGTCTGGTGAGGAGGCAAGAGGCCCGTACTCATCAAATGACTCTCTCTCCCCAAAGACACTCACTTGGGGTAGTTGTTGCAATACTGAGTGTAGATGTCAAACTCTTGGCTCTAAAGAAAGACCAGAAAAACAAAAACAAACAAACAAAAACCAATGATTTCAGGGAGATTCTCATCTGACTAGAAAACATGGTGGGACCAAAGGACAGGTTCCTGACCCCTGGAGCACAGTGTCATCCCTGACAACCTGCAGAGCCATCTTTGCATCTGTTTGTCTAGGACATCCCATCCATTCAATAGCCTTGGACAGGAATCCCCAGAACAAGGAGTAAGGACCGGGTCCTTCTTACCCTTTCCACAAAGCAGCTGGCCACAGCCACAGGGTCATTATTGCAGCTGTCCAGATCTCTGAGAAGCTGGCTGGGTGACGGAAGAGAGGCCATTAGACCAACATCAACATCTGTAACCACCCAAGCTACACACACCCTGCCCACCTCCTGAGACACAGACCCCAACCAGCCCTGGTATCATGCTATAGGTCTCAGCTTTCACCCTGCCCCAGGTGGCAACCACAGAGAGTATCCAGCATGCCCCCAAAACAGAAAGACCCATGTGTTCAGCAAGCAGCAGCGGAAGAGGAGACACCGATACCCACCTCAGGAGGGGACACAGCTCCTCTGTGGGCAGGAGTCAAACACACAAAAGCAGAGATTAAAGGAGGATAAGGAGAAGAAAGAAGCAAAGAACTCTCCCAGACCAGATGGGAGGGTGCAGGGAGCAGAGAGACAGGGTGAGACTGAGCACTCTGATCTTGGTGGGGAGCACCGGAGAATATACCAAAGACAACATCCTCTGCCTTCTCCCTAGCTGCCTTCCCCACACCTTCCTTAGTCTTGTCTGCACCCTACCCACCCTCCTCCCTACACACTGCCCAGACTCCTCCAGCTGCAATGGAAGAGTCCTCGTGTCCCATCGACACTGCTGTCTGAGTTTCTGTGGTCCCACAGCAGCAGATTCAACCTTCACAAACTCATCAAGCCTGTTTGACCTGGCCTGTGTGATGAACTAACACAGTGGTTCTCAACCTTCCCAATGCTGCGACCCCAATATAGTTCCTCATGTTGTGGTGATCCCCTACAACCATAAAATTATTTTCGTTGCTGCTTCATAACTGTTATTTTGCTGCTGTTATGAAGTGATGTAAATATTATTTGGAGATAAGAGGCTTGCTGAAGGGGTGATGACCCACAGGTTGAGAACTGCTATAACAGGCAGGCCCTCCAGAGAGTCTTTACTTCCCTTGAGAACAGTGGGAAGGAAGAAATAAACTATAAGATGTGCGAGATGATATAGAAGGAGCCCCCACACGAAGAGCACAAGTGAGCAAGACCTAGCAGTGTGCACAAGACCCGGAAGGTGCTGGAACCAGCAAACATGTGACTTCAAATTATATACCCCTGGAAAGGTCAGCTGCTGCCCTCTTCCAGCACAGGGCTACGATCCTGAGCAAGGATAGACTTCAATTCCCCATCTCTACAGTCAAGCCTATGTGTCATAGCCCATGCGTCCAGACATCCAAGGATCCTCTCCAGGCTCCCAGGTGTGCCCCAGGGCAGAACAGGCCTAGCACATACCTGTTCAGTGCATAGATGCTCTCTATGTTTCCAAAGAGGGCACTGACTTGCTCTGGCTTCAGGAGCCCGGGAGTATCAATGATCTTCGAGAGGTAGTCCTACAAGGAGAGAGGAATGAGGACCCCACACCTCTTGGCTTGATCACCTAACATCCCTAATCACACCTTAATCCATTCTGCATTTTATAGCTATGACATGATTTAACAGGCAGTGTCCACTGTACTGAGCTGCGGGTATTTACTCAAAAATTCACATCCACTTGGCAACTTGGAATGTAACCTTATTTGGAAACAGGGTCTTTGTGGATGTCATTAGTTAAATTTCCCAAGATGACATCATTTGGTATTTAAGGAGACTCTGGGTTTAACAGCTCATGTCGTTATAAGAGAAAAGGGCACAGGCACAAGGCAGATAGGAAGGGGTTAGGACAATGCAGCCACAGGCCAAAGAACAACAGAGAAAATTAGCTCTGGTTTCCTGCAACCCCAGTACTTGGGAGGCAGAGTCAGGAGGACTGTTTGAGTTAAAGGCCAGCCTAGGTAAAATTCCATCTCAAAAAAACAAAACAAAACAAAACAAAACCAAAAGGCTGGTGAGATGGCCCATCAGGCAAAGGCACTTGCCTCGTGACCTGAGTTCAATCCCTAGAAGCATGTAAAAACAGAAGGAGAGAAGTGACTCTGAAACTTTTGACCTCCACATGGGCACTGTGCACCACACACACACAGACACAGACACACAGACACACAGACACACACACACACACACACACACACACACACACACACACACACACACACACACACTTCCTCTGCCTCTTGAGTGGTGGAATTAAAGGCAGTGGCCACCACACCCAGCTTTTGAGTTATTTATTCATGTGTTTTATGTATATGAGTCCTCTGTTTCATGCAGGTCAGAAGAAGGCATCAGATTCCATTACAGATGGTTGTGAGCCACCATGTGCATGCTGGAAATTGAACCCAGGACCTCTGGAAGCGCAGCCCCAGGTAAGTGCTTTTAACCACTGAGCCATCTCTCTAGCCCACGCTTTTTTCTTAATGAACACAAACAATCAGAAAAAGAATTCATTTCTGGTGCTATAAGCAATTAGGTTTGTGGTAATTTGCTGTGTAGCCCTAATGGACTCACACCTCTGCTTCCCTACCAGGCAGAGGGTCCTTCAATGGCAGGTACATGCCACCTTTCCCTGTGTGCCTTACAGTATGAAACTCTGTGCCTCTGCCAGCCCTGTTCATTTTGCAGGCAAAGACACTGAGCCCATGCCCAAGGCTCCAGGGCCAGGAAACAGCAGAATAGGGAACCTGGATGTTCTCGCCCAGGTTTAATCCCTGCAGAGCACCTACAGCCTCCTAGTCAGGCTAAAGCCCCTCCCTTAGCTATCATAGTGCCCACTGCCCAAGCATGAAACTCTGCTACCCTACTTGTGTGGTGAAATGTGGCTTGAAGCATGAAAGGCCACAGTCCCCACCAGGTAGGTTCCCAAAGCTTTCTCATGGCTTCATGGGAGGCAGATATATAGGGACAGGTATGCCAAGGAGAACCTTGGATTCTGGAGTGGAGTCAGGTTGTACCAAAGAATTGGGCCATGGGAGGACAGAATCCCAGGCCTCTTGAAAAGATGGTCAGCCCCACCCAGCCTCGGCACTCACCTCCACAATGCTCCGAAGGTCCTGTACATACATGCGCTCAGTTTCCACAATCTCTCGAACCACCCGGCCCAGGTAGTTGAGCTTATGATAGGCAGGACCTGTCCCTGCACGACCGTTGAATGGGGAGAGGGGTCCCTTCATGTTCAGCCAGCCACTGGAGTTGTTGCTGTTGGGAACATGCCGGCTCCAAGGGGAGCCTGTCCCATTCTGGGCTGAAGCCTCAGAGCCTGTGGGCTCCTCCATGGCACTGTGGCTGTCACGGGAGGAGCCAGATGAGGAAGTGGTAGACATTAGGCTTGGTGGCCGCTCCTGGCTGCCATCTTGGTGGAGGGTAGTAGAGACGGGCATCCTGGCATCGCTGCCTGGGATTGTCACCTCGGGGAGATTCTGGAACAAAACAGACAGATGGAGGGTCAGGCTCTAAGTACCTGCAGAATCAAAAAGAGGAAGGGAGGTTGCCGGAGATAGGGAGTGTGCAGAATGGGAAGTCACTGATAGTGGGTGCAAAGTTCACTTTGAGAAGATGAAAGCAGCTCCTGAATGGGCAATGATGTGGGGATGGTATGAATGTGCATAGCATCACTGAACTACATTTACAAACGGCTTAAGGTAGTAAATTTTCACTTTTGTGTATGCTACCACAACTTTTCAAAATAAGGTCAGTGAGATGACTCAGCAGGTAGAGGCACTCGACAGCACGTCCAATTAACCTGAGTTCCGTGTCTGAGATCCACATGGTGAAAAAAGAGAACCGACTCCAGCAAGGTGTCCTTAGACCTCCAAATGTGTGTCATGGTATCTGTAGCCACCTCCCAAACAAATAAATGTAATTTAAAAAAATGTACAAAAAAAAAAGCCTAAACACCAAGGAAGGCCATTCCCTCAGAATAGGAATACTGACTGGCAAGGATACTCAAGCTCTGTTCTTTCTGGATCCCGGCAGCTCAGCCTCTAACTCTCCCAGGGTGGAGACAGGTGGGCTACACCAGGAGACAGTAAATGCTCAGAAATGTGAGCCCCAGAAGAGCAAAGAGCTCACCTAAGCCAACACAATGGTCTCTCGTACCTTCTGAAAAACTCAAACCCAGCTCTAGGGGCTGAGAATACAGCTCAGATGGTAAAGTGCTTGCCTAGCATGCACAAGGCTGTAAGTTCAATTCTTAGCATCACATAAAACCAGGCATGGCCAGGCAGCACTTGCCTTTAATCCCAGAACTAAGGTGGCAGGGGCAGGTGAGTTCGAGGCCAGCCTGGTCTACAAAGTAAGTTCCAGGACAGCCAGAGCTATACAAAATACAAACCAAACACACAAACAACCCACAGGCATGGTGGTCCACACCTGTAATCCCAGCACTCGATCAGAGGTTCAAGGTCACCCTCTGTCATATAGTGAGTTCCAGGTTAGCCTGGGCTTCATAAGAATCTATCTAAAAACCTGTTATTAAAAAAAGAAAGAAAAGAAAACAAGACAAACTAGCACTGCCACTTGGGCAAAGCGGTTAGCCTCTCGGAGCTTTACCTATACTATAAACTGCACCCTGGAGCTATGTCCTCAAGGTGATACAACCTGCTGGCTGCCCTCAGAACACGGTGCAAGGCAGAGTAAATGCTCCACAAACCATCAGAACAGGATGATAATGGAAGTTATCAACACGCCGAATCCCATGTACCTGCCTATCTGGGTCCATGCTGGGGGTCACTGGGTCAGAGGACAACGTGTGGAAGTTGGTTCTCTGCTTCTGCCATTAATTTTATGTCTTCAATTAAATCCAAGTCATCAGGCTTGGCACTTTCAGCCACGAAGCCATTCTACCAGACCAGGCTCTTACAGTGTCATAACCAGCATGTAATAATACTCCCCGAAATCTAAATGCTAAAACGTGAGCACCGGTGGGTCCACCTGTAACTGAGGCTTTCTCCGTACTGAGAGGGAAGAGAAAGGATGGGGAAAAAACTGAGTCAACTTGACTCCTTGCCCCACTCCCAGGTACCAGGTGTAGGCAGGCCCCTGACTCAGCCATACCAGGAAATTCCCCAGGGCTGAGCAACAGCTGAGTCTCCACTCAGCACAGCTGGGCAGAACACATAGAAGGCAGGAAGCTGCACCCAGGTGAGGCAAACACAGCCACAGGTGGACTTTATTCCCTGAGCAGATGGTACTGCCCACAGCCCACTCCAGAGATACAGAACACCTCATGCCTATCCAGGAGACCAAAGCTCCCAAAGCCAGATGCTCCCACACTGGCTATTTCCTCAGGGGAGGAACAGGGAGAAGAGGAGGAGCGGGAAATGATCATTAGGACCAGTTTGGTGAGGAGGAGGAGGAAGAAGAATAGGAGGAGGAGAGACCCCCCCCCACCTCTCTCATCTCTACCGTCCCAAGTGTTCTTAACTCTAACCTAGCCCTGGCCAACAGGATCTATAATGTGCTGTTGTCACTGCCCTCACCTGGAAACCAGGGTTTCTGGGCTCTGCCTTTTGTAGGCGGTGCCCTCTCTGCTTGGCATTATTCCTCCATATCTACTCCATGTCATACTCAACCTTCCAGTCTCAGGCTAGAAGTTCTCTTTCCAGAAGCCTCCCCATAAGCAGCAGCAGAGCTGGAGGCCTCTGCTAAGCACTCTGGTTGCCTCAGGTTTTGTCTTCTCTTATCTCTCTGTGTGAGTGTGATTAGCTTGAGACCCTCGGGGCTACCAGTTACATATGCAGGAATCCTTAGGACCAGTTTGGTGAGTAGCAATTGCAATCCAGTTGATGTTTTTGACAAGATTTTTTCCACCTTTGTGTTATAGGCTCTCTAATACCCAAGGCTGGCCTCCAACCTTCAAGGATGACCCTGAACTTCTGACCCCCCCCCCTTCCTGCTTCTCCTGGTTCCTGGGATTACAGGCACAAGCCACCACACCTAATTTATAGGCGCTGGGGCTCAACCCCAGGGCTTTGTGAATGCTGGGCAAGCATGCTATCAGAACCATATCCCCAGCCTGTCGCTATATTAAGCTAAAGGCATGTTCAGAGCCACTCATAGTCCAACACTAACCCAGCAAGGCCCTTCTCACTGTGTCCCAGCTAAGAGGTTTTATGCAGCACTCCAAGGTACACTACATGACAGGTGAAGGGCTCAGCAGCAGCTCTAGGATTGGTGCTGCTGTTTGCCTCTGCTAAGTCTTAGGGGGAGCACTTAGGAGCCAGGGAGCTAAGTCTTAGGGAGTGCACTCAGGAGCCAGGGAGATGCCTTAGGGGGACACTCAGGAGCCAGGGAGCTGGCTTAGGGGGAGCACTCGGGAGCCAGGGAGATGTCTTAGGGGGAGCACTCAGGAGCCATGTGCTACTGCTGCTGCTTCCTCCCTCCGAGAGCCTTCTTGTTAACCAGGGGCACTCTTTTTCATGGAGACTGGGCCCAAACTCTACTCTGCCCTTGACCTCCATCCCCATCAGTCCCAGCTGGAAAAACAACCAGGCAAGGACTTATGGCCTGAGATCTTTCCTAGATTAGCCCTGGGATCATGTCAGCTCCTGTGGGGAGGCTAAATGGAAAAGACCCAAGTCCCGAAAGGATTTCACAGCCAGCCAGGTCATAAGCCTCATAGCAAAAGAGTCACCACAGCCCTACCTTATCCATCACACACTATCAGGGGGTTAGTGTCTGAAAGGTACTTTCTGAGAGTCACTGGTAGGGACCCCACTTCTCTAGTTAAATACAGCTTCCTGTTTGCAAACCCAGGAAAGCCGGGTATCTGCTGCCTGAACCCCCTGGAGCGGAAACAAAACAGGGCGGCCACTTGCTCAATGGTCTAATCGCTGCAGGGCACTTAGCGATTAGTCTTACCTGTCCCTAACAACACCTGCAGTGAGTGCTATTCTGAGTGCCCTTGTACAGATGCACTGAATACAGAGCCCACACTCTCACAGCTGCTACCTCTCAAAAGGACCTTAAGCCTGCCATGGCCACTGCTTTGATGTAGGATAAGCTACAAGGACACAGAAAACTGTGAAGGCCTGAGGCTTAGATCTGCACCATGTGGCTGGCCTGTGACAATTACTCTAGCACTGGGACAACACAGACTCTGGATCAAAGGGTCATGGGCCACAGGGAAGCAGTGAGCATAGGACTCCCAGGGTCAGACTTTCCATGTCTCAGATGACAACAGAAGACCTGCAGTGATCTAGGGTCCTACCCATGATCATAAGGACCTCTCTCCTAGGCAAAAGGCCACAAAAGGGCAAAACCCTAGAGGTGGTCAGTAAGGCAGAGCAGGGTTCAAGAGTGAACAGTTAGGCTGGGTAGTGACAGAGAAGACCCATCCTATTCCAAGAGGCCTCCCTGTGTCACTGCCGTATGTATAATGCAGACTCCTAAGCCAAATCCTACCCAAATGCTACCTTGGGCAGAGCTACCTGTCCTTCCTACCTGATGAGCAGCACCCACCATGCAAGATTCACCCTAAACCAGGACAAGAGTTTGGTTCTTCAATCTTGTCTGTTTTGTTTTGTTTCTCTGTGTAGTCCTGGAACTCGTTCTGTAGACCAGGCTGTCCTCAAAGTCACTGATCTGCTTGCCTCTGCCTCCCTGTTGGGATTAAACTGCCAGGCTCAAACTTGTCTTGTAAGACAAGGTCTACTGAGAAAAGAGAGGAAGCAGCAACCAAGAGTCAAGCCCACTTACCCTACCACAGCCATGTCTCCAGGTGTTGCCTACAGAGACCATGCCCACCTATCCTACCACAGACCACATCCACCTTTCAGTATGAGTCAACCCTGTCAGTTATCAACCCACAAACCAATCGTCTAGAGAACTGAACCTCAAGTCCTACACTATGAAGCCCTCTTTGAGAAGTTCCCCCAAAGAATCCCCAGTGACAGGTCGAGAAAGCCATCCTTCCACCCTTCCTCCCTCCCTCCCTCCCTCCCTCCCTTCCTTCCTTCCTTCCTTCCTTCCTTCCTTTCTTCTTTCCTTTCTTCCCTCCACTTCCTCCCCTCCTTCTATATCTAAATTGAAATGTATCTACTCCCTTCCTCCACCCATATAGGTGTAAAGTGTATGCTGCCCCTCCCAAGGACCTTCCCTCAGTCTTCACAGGCAGGGAGGCAGGCAGGCTGCAACAGGCCCCTTGGATTCCCAGCAGGAGACTGGAGCCAAGTCCCACACCTCTCTCTTCCAACAATGCCCTCAGTAGTGTGCCCTCAGTTTGACCCAAAAGGGGATACCCCAGGTGCCCAGACATAGCCAGTGTCTCTGTGTTGTCCTCAGGCCTTTTCTCACTGAGACAATTAAAACCCACTTTTCCTTCCACAAAAGATTCCCCCAAAGAAGAACACCCTGGGGCCTTCTGGAACTCTTGCCCATGATCCTGGAGAGACCTCCAAGAATTGGCCACACTCCTTTT